CTACACCCTCACAAGCTCCCACTAATTTAAAATGGTGCAAGGATTCCGCATAACATTCCTTTCAGAATTATTTCAAACAAGAAAACAAATCATCCTTACAACAAAATCCCTTTTAAGTTCAATCATCTGAGTTAATATAAGGGATAAAGTGCATAAATAAAGCACTCGGTGGCAACTTCATAAGAAAAGCTTAAATTTGCAATGCCCAAAGATTTTCATAACCAATGAATAAACAAATTTTTTAATATTAGGCTAAAAGTCTTCTAAAAGGCAATTTTCTTAAAATTCATCCCTTGACTGTGTTGAATTCTACAGCTACATAGAGAAACTAGTCTTAAACAGCACCATAACCACATCACACCAGAATACACTCCATAGGATCATATACCTGTTTCTTTTTCACCCTCTAATGTATCCACTTGTATGCCCATTTCATACTTCATGTATGCAAGCCCCAGCTCTGTCACCTTGGGACAATCTGCTATTGTCACCTGGGAAGAGACACAATAAAAAAACTATAAAATATAATATATATATTTATTAAATATATCTCAGTATATTACTAAAGAAGTGATTCACTGACTGCATTTAAGATTTTGATTAGTAAATAGTACAGCCTGCAGTGTAGTTACAGATGTACATCGAATGTTACAGTATATCTACAGATGTACTTGATTTCTGCTACAATGATGTACCACACACACACACACACACACACAATTTTTATACACTGTACTTACTAACTCACTCTCATACCTAGGANCCCCCCCCCCCCCCCCCCCCGGCAGGAGGCTGACCACTAACCTGTGTGTCCACATTGACCAGCCGGGCTAACCAGTATAAACCATTGTCTGTGATACGCGGACAGTTCATGATGGCAACTCTCTTCAGCTTAGCCATTTTGTCCTAAAATTGAAACCGTTATTATTTGCCTTCAGCAATTTTGAAATCAATGCCACTGTTTTTCTCCTCATTTTTATTTGATGTCTGTACACTTTTTTTATCCTGAAGTTCTCTCAGATTCAAACTTCAGTGACATTTGAAATAGCCAACCACACTAATCTATCTAATGTCACATGAATTACTTGGAGATCAGATTTGCTCCCTATACAATCAACTTATCATAATGGGGTATAAATCAAACCACCTGCTAACAGCACTGTAGGTATATAGATTAAAATATTGTTGGATTTATAAAGTAATCAATTTTATTGATTTATCAATATCAGTACTATACGTAATTACCTCCACCAAGGAGGTTATGTTTTCACCCCTGTTTGTTTGTTTGTTTGTTTGTCTGTCTGTCTGTCATCAACATAACTCAAAAAGTTATGGACCGATTTTGATGAAATTTTCAGGAGCTGTCAGAAGTGGGCCAAGGAACAGATGATTAGTTTTTGGTGGTGATCCAGATCAATAATCAGTCAATAATCAAAACTGAAAATTTAGGGGTGTAACGGCATTGGATGGAGACTTTGCTGCTTTGGTGGAGGTATGCGCTCTCTGAGAGCTTTTTATATATTGTAGTGTGTTTAGCATATATGACCTGATACTTAATTTTACCATTGAATATAAAATATATATCATTTTAAAATCAAAAATACAACTTATACCAACTTCTTTCTCTAATAGTCTTTGTGTTAAAAAAGAAAAGAAACCTGCCTGGAATTTGACACACATCATGAAGAACACGTCTGTAAGGCAAGCATCATTCACAAACAAGATGGACTCAACCTCTGGTACTTGGCTGATGTAGTTCTGGAAAGAAAATGTCAATTACATAATGAAAAACATCTTTTAGTTAATTGTAGGGCCAAATACATCAATTGAGACCAATATACCAAATGAGACCACTTTTGATATTCTCAGAGATAAAATATCCAGATGTCGTCCACAACAGGTGTATTGTAAAAATTTCCCAACTCATAGGTTCCTGGAAAAGCCACTTAACACTGCTATCAAATGACAATTACATGCATTTCTAGGATTTTTATTTTACATTAGTAATACTAAGAACTAATTTTTGAGCAGGGATGGAAACTGTATTTTTTATCTTATTGAAATAAGACAGAATGAAACATTACTTATAAATAAGCAAATTTACTTATTTAAAAAGAAAACAAAAGCTGTTACAATAGAGTCAACAAAATAAAGCAATAATTATGACATTACATTCATTGGTCTTCATTAAAAAAACTTACAAACAGCTCCATAGTATCATAACAGCCCACCCTTTGTTGGCGAAGACTGTCTGGCAGGGAGCAGTTCCTGAGAATTGGGAGTTCTATAAAAATACAATAGAAATTTTAAAAATTAATTAAAAGCACTTTGATTATTAACCAAATAATTGCTTGCAATCCGTTACAACATACCTGATGTGTTAACTATCACATGTGTTAATTCAAAATCGATCATTTCATTTATTTGTTTGTTTATACTGAAAATATACATCTAAAGATGAATGTATATTGTAAGATCTTTTTTCTCACTCAGCTTTTTGTTGTGCAGTTATAAATCAATGTGTCACAATATGACTGTCATATTATGATGAACATATTTCAATAAGAAAATTCCCAACATGACAAGCTATCTAATCTTAAGCCTTGCCTGATTATTGAAAACAGTCACAATTTAAGAAATATCACTTAGGAATTTATCATATTCACCAATTTAAAAATAAACGGACCAAGTATTGCATTTCAATTTGTTATTCTGCAAACTTTTTTTTCAGTGCTATCTTTATCATAATGGTTAAGACACTTCTTTAGGGTCTAAGAGCAATTTATCTCTCTCTCTCTCTCTCTCTCTCTCTCTGATTATATTACAATTAATTCACCAATCCTACCTTTTTGTAAAGTTACTAAAATCATCATTTCCACAAGTCCTGAAAGGTTCTTCTCTTTTGTGGACAGTTTTAAACACTGGCTGACCAGGGCTAGGACACCAAGTGGGTAGTCACTTAACTGAGCATACACCTCTATAGTACTTTTCCCACTGGTTTGAAGGACCACAACATGATATATCAATGCATCTCTTGTATCTGGGCAGCTAGTGATTTTACTAAGCCATGCAGGCAAAGATTCCTTAAGAAAAAAATAGATAGAGGCTCATCTTGCAACCATCCCTATCAAAACTTTTATCATGATAAATAATCTATTGTAGTTATCATAATGAAAAATGTCCACAAACCAGGTATTATATAGGTATTTACAGGAAAATAAAGATTTGCCTGAGTGTTTGGTTTACAGAGCACAATGGCATGGAATTTTCCTGGAAATTTCAACAATTATTTTATATCAGCGAGGTATATTAATACCCTTTGCTAAATTGTTGAGCAAATAACATCCTACCCAGTATTGATATAATTTCCATTTCTTATTTTTTTACCATCACTATTAAAAGTCTCACTCTTAATTACGAGATAACTCAAAACTAGAAATTTGGAAATCAAAAATGGGTCTATGGATCAATATCTGTTAACAATTTGATCACCTGGGTGATAAAGAAAGTGTTGAATTTTCCAGGATCTTACCTTAAGATCTGATGATCAGTGAGTAACACTACAAAAATTTTAAGTGTTTCTCAATTTTTGACCAAATTAATTTTCCTTTACAGAGAAATTCATGCAAGGCCACAATCAACCAATCAAAAGCCTTGTCCACACATGCCAGAAATGCAATTATTATTATAGTGAACGAAGTATTATGAAACAAATGAATGATTTATGCACTACATTTTAAATTATCAAAAGTTGTTACTGGTGGTAGAACTTATTATATTTACAGAGCTATCAGCCACAAATACAATAGTTTTTGTGCGTTTTTTCTTCTTCCAGTTTGGCACTTGTCTCGGTAAGCTAAAATAGACCAGCCATGTCTTGTCTCGGACCTCCACTGGGGTTGGAAGGCCACTGAAATAGTGTAATATTAAGATTAGATCATCTTCTCTGTATCGATCTTTCTCTTACATTCTCAACAACTGGGCCAAATTTCATGGAGATCCAAACTTTAATTTTTAACGTCCATTTCTATCCATTTCTGTGTTTTAAAGGACTGGTTTCAAGTCTGTGTGTAGTCACCTATGTACTCAGTATGTCAATATTACCAAGTGATTCATTAGAACCCTGCAGAAGTGATAAGTATGCAAATAGTTTTTCATGCTCTTAGAGTTGCATGCTCAGTATTATATGTACTGTAGGTGTAAAAACCTTTTAACTTATTATTATTTAAAATAGATGTCTGACAAAAATTTTTATCTAATATGCATGCATATCTGAACATAGCTCTGCAGCTAAATTACTTACTTGTCTGTTGATTTGGCTGAACTTTCAAATGCTGAACCAACACAATATGCATAATGGCCTTGACTGAAATCCATCCCTCACTACAAAAATAAAATTAAGAGTTAAAAAATGTAATAATGTTCACAATCACAAACCAAATTATAGTTTTATTTACATACATGTAAATACTGGTGCATGTATTATATACAGTCTGAACTGCTCAGTTAAGTCATTATAAAAGTTGTAAAAAAGTTGTGTATAATTTTTATTAACACTGACTAATAAACCGCAGGCAGTAACAGCTTCCACTGCCTGGATTCATATTATCAGGACAGAAATCATGAACAGACAAAAACTCACTATCAGACTCATAAAATCCACTATAAATAATTTGAAATAAATAATTCAACACTCGTTCGAAATTTAAAGCATAAACCCTCTGAATTTCCACGATACTGTACGGCGGGATACACCCCGCCATGAAGACGAGCATGAAGATGGTACGAGGTGAAAAAATGGACATCAAAAAGTGAAACTATATTATTGATTGTAGAGTAAATTTAAATATTCCAATGAAAAGTTATACCCCTGATAACACCACATATATCTTCATGTCAAATATACCCACTCATATGATACGTAATTGATAACAAATTATCTTTACCTGACCGCAACCTGACGCAGAGCACAGAGCCACGGTCCGAGAAAATGGGGTCACTGAAGATGGCAACGTATTGTTGATCGACAAACCGATCGAAAATCTTCAACAACTCGTGAACAGTTATCTTTGCAGTATTCAGTGTTTTGTTTCTACAATCATAAGACTTATTTGCACCCTTTATAATACTAAATTCTTAATTCGTATGGTGTCATATGGGTTTAAACAATACGTCGATCAAATTTCAAGGTATCTATGGACTGACTGCGGGTAAATAAAGTAGCCTGTCTTGGTTTGTACACCGATAGATGTCACTGTTTGTAAGTAGGTCAAGCTAGGATAAAACTGTGTCACATCGTGGAGAGACAAGGTGCGTGTTGTGAGATGGATTCATTTCAAGATTACAAGAAGTCGACAGAGGTGATGATTATACTAAATCGTCATTGAATTAAGTAAAGAGCAGTGTTTTGTGTTTTGATGCTTCCATCTGTTTAAGCTTGTGTATTGCGTCAAAAAATCATGGTACATGTACTAAATAAAATTCGAAGTCCTTCGCCCCCCCCCCCGCACCCAGTCTTCTTAATCAGTTTTGAGCCCTCATATTCTCGTTTTATATGCATTTTGAGAAAATACCCAGAATAACCATCGAGACAGGCCCCAACAAACATGGCAGTTATCTATATTATTTCTTTATTTTTTATTATTTGTTTATGAATTATTGGTATTATTATCTTTTTTTTATTTAGCTTATTTATTATTGTCTTTTTATATTCACTTTAATGGCTTACTGTGATGATCTGGGCTAATAGTGATTTATACATGTGATCAATATTCATTTTACAGCAAATAAACCACAAAAACTGGAAAGAAAGTAAGTCAGCTTTATACAAAAGGAGCAATTGTTATTTGGTTTTATGGCATAATTGGGCAATAATTGGCAATGAATACATACTGTTAATGGTTATTTTTGGATTATTATTGGTAGTTGAAGATGTCCAACTTGCTTGTAGAAGACAAAATCATGTTATTACAGCCATTTGTAGTTATAAATCAAATTGCAAACAACAGTTGAGCAACCATTTTGTATGAAACGTATAATAATGTAGGGGCCGTAGCGATAGTCTGAAGGTTCAATTAATAGTCTGAAGGTTCATTGGTCCGAATGTTCACTATAGAACCTTCGGACCAATGAACCCTTGATTAAAAAATCGATGAAAATGTTACCACTTTTCGGACTAATGAACCTTCGGACCAATGAACCTTTGGACTATCGAGACGCCCCCATAATATATCACGTGACTGTTAGGTAATATCACTGTAAACACTGCACTGTTAAATTAAATAGTAAAAGCCCAAAGAAGAAAATGGAAGGAAGAAAAACTGCTTAGTGAATTAGAAAAACATAAGAAAAGGAAAACTGATGACGATCCCAAGAATAAAGAAAAGAAAGAAGAAGGTCAGTGATGTTGTACAAAGTGTTACTATAATTGGTGTTAGGTGAGAAAATATGTCTCTTCGAATTACAGTAACTTTCATTTTAATAGTTGTATTTTAAAAAAGTATTAAAATGAAATATTTCATCATTTGTTTGATGTGATCCAAGTTACAGTAAGTTATGGTTGTAGCATTTAACTGCTAACTTGCCTTTAGTCTATAGAACTATGTTCATTATGATAATTTAGTTAAGTACATATGTATGTATGTATGTATGTATGTATTTTCTGAAATTTGCTTCTCTATCAGATGCCATAACAAGGACGGTCAGCATTGCCTTGCCTGGGTCCATCTTGGACAATGCCCAGTCCCCAGAGTTGAGGACATACTTGGCAGGACAGGTGGGAAATTAATGACAATTATATAAAAGAAAATTCTTGAGGATTCTTTTTATTGTCAGTGTAATTTAAATTTCTTTATTTTCACTGTTTTAAAAAATTGATTTTAGATATTCTGTGGGACGCACAGGGATTTTTTAACGGAATGTGTGTCATAAAAGAATTTATAGTTATAATTATTATTTAAAAAAGAATGCCTCTTAAACTTTGTGTTGGTGGCAGCACTGCTCATGATGAGCTTAGTTCATGAATGTACTCTTAAAAGTACAGAAAATATTATTAATACTTTTTCTGATTTGCTATTGTGATGAATGTTTCTCATGGATGTTAAGGCAAACATATTATTTTTCCCTGATGTGGGTTACAATATGTAGTTTTTTTTACTGATCATACAGGTTTATGTATATGTGTGTGTGATATATATATATATATATATATATATATATATATATCACCCTTGGTTGCAGATAGCCAGAGCAGCAGTAGTCTTCAGGGTGGACGAAGTGATCATCTTTGACGAGACGGGATCAGCTGAAAAGTAAGAAATTGTGACAGTTTTTATATGCAATACAAATGCCTTGAGATATACACACATTTATTACAAGTTGCATAGCTAACATGTTTATTTCAGAAATATTTATGGCAGGGAAGCTTTTTTGCTTTGTCTGTTTTGCTGTTTATATTTAATCAAGATTGAAATAACATATTTTGTTTTATTCAAAGTGAAATTAGAAATATATAGAGAGATTGGCATGTTATTTTGGTCTGTAAAAGAAATCATATTATTTTAATAACAGTACAAAAGCATCATATTTTATTTTGTGTCAATGCTCATCAATACTGCAGCTGTGATCACCTCATTTTAAAATCCCAAAATGCGGCTAGATTTGTTATATATATATATATATTTCAGTACAACCAGTGGTTCCTACACAGGTGTGGGTAAGAAGGGGCATGCTAACGTCCAGCTAGCCCGTATACTGCAGTACCTGGAGTGTCCACAATACCTGAGAAAGTCCCTGTTTCCACAGCACACTGATCTACAATATGCAGGTCTGATGTCTTTCTTCTAGCTTTTGTATCTAGAGTCGTATTTTAGTTATCTTGATTGGTAAAGTGAGTCTTTGTATTCTGGAGTGGAGACTGGTAAGGGTCTTTGGTCTGTTTCTCAAAATGAAAAGAACTGAAAGCAAAGACTGCACAGAAAGTTAGCAGACTAAGTTTCAAAAGTTACCTAAAGTTTTGCTTATAGAATTATTCATTTTGAACCAAATAATGACTGAAAAAAAAAAACAGTTTATATGCTATTTGAAACTATACAGTGGCATTTAGCCGGGTTTGTGGCAAAAGTTTGATTTCAAGTGCATCTTTAAGTTTGCCAAATATTTCTGCTTCCAGGTCTCCTGAATCCTCTGGACTGTCCCCATCACATGCGGGCGGAGGATGAGTGTAACTACAGGGAAGGCGTGGTGCTGGACAAACCTGTGAAGGAAGGGAAAGGATCCTATGTTAACATTGGGTTAAAGAAGGTTTGTGACTCAGAATAATAATAATAATATATAAATCAATAATATTCACAAAGGAACTATAGACTTAAAGTTCACCTTAACTTTTTGACTAAAACTCTGTTTACTTTAGTGACTCGTAATTCAGATTGAATATACAGTAGTCACTTTAGGAATTAAAGTAATTGTTGAGCCAAAACAGCATGCCATTATTTCTATGTTATAAAACAGCTACTCTGTTTCCAGTTGTGTGTTGTTCCCTACAGACGTTGTACATTTTCAGGAGTGTCAAGTGGATTTACAATTACAAACTGGTGTGAGAGTAACTGTGAAATTAAAGTCTACACAATCAGGTAATACATGTAAGACTTGAATCACACTGATAATCTGAAGCCACTGATTTGACTTTATATTTGTGAAAATCATTCAGTATTTCTAAGATATTTTAACATAGATACTTCCTCTCGCCTTAAACTATGAATGGAAAGAAGTTATCATTAGGATAATACAATATTGGTTTTAACTATAATTATATATTTCTTTTGGCTGTAGTCTTTTGCGAAACAAGACAAATTAAAATGATATTTTAAGATTTTGCCTATGAAAATAATTTGGGTCTCTTTCCGGGCAGTAGTAAGTTACTGTCAGCAAGATTGCTTGATGGTGGTTTAAGCTGTTTGGAATCAGATGAAATTTTTTTACAGGGAAAATAATTTTTATATCTTATTTTGAATAATAATCTATTTCTAACACATTAGTTTGAAGTATTTTAACAGAATTGGGTGTTTGTAAAGAAGATACTGGTTTTATAGTTCAGTTTTTGGTTTCAATTCTTGCGTCTTACCTAGATAAAAAGACTCTGAAAGGCAAAGTCGTCCCACCTTCTGTTCCAAGACAGAAGGAGGACCTTTACTGGGGATACAGTGTGCGTCTAGCTGACAGTCTCAGCTCTGTGTTCACAGAATCTCCCTATGACGGTGGATATGATTTGATGATTGGGACTTCAGAAAGAGGGGAAAATGTGGACACTCTGAAAATGAAGGATTTTAGGTGAGATTCCAGATTTTGGAAATGCTGCAATTTATTGTTTTGTTAAGCTATCTGTAAATAACCATTTCTTTATGATGCCAACAAATTAGCCATAGCTTGTTGTTAGATAGTCACATAAAGTTTATGATTTGCAAGAAACCCAGATCCAGTTTTGCAAATCATCCTTCACCTTGAATTTGAAATTATTCAAAAATTATAGCTGTATCGGTTTGGGATATGAGAGCACAGAAATATAATACCACATTCCTCAAAATCACATTTTCAGCACCCTGTGATTACTCAATTCCCTGGTCATTCTCTATATTCCAGACACTTACTAATAGTATATGGTGGTGTCCAGGGTCTAGAGGCCAGTCTGGAGGTGGACACTAAGTTGGACATAGAGGACCCTAGTTTACTGTTTGACCATTATCTTAACACATGCCCTGGTCAGGGGAGTAGGACTATAAGAACTGAGGTAAGTTATGCAGCAGGGCTCTATGGACCGTTGTAATTGTGCGTATACAGCAGGACTAAGCAGAGCTCACAGCTGGCAGATTGCCCATTTATGATTTTTTTAAATTTTGTTAAGTAGATTTGATGGGTGAAATTATAATGAATCACAGCTCCTCAAATTTGCCCTTGATTAGATGTAAATTTTAGCCTTAAAAATGCATGTAAAATACTTCTTAGTAAGAAAACCTATACTTTAGATGAATAAAGTAAAATTTTAACAATAAATATAGAGAATCCATGGAGTTTCACAAAAATTGATTACACCACTTGTTTAAACCAAGCGTAAAGATCTGGATAAATTACTGCTGAAATTCAGTTTATACCTATAGTGTTGTTTATTTATTATTTCAGGAGGCCATTTTGATTACCATGTCAGCGTTACGACCGCACATTCAAAGGATTTCATCCACAAGCTGACATAACCACACCTCTTTAAAACTTTAGAACAGTTCATAGTTGTTTGAAAAAGTTTTTATTTCAAAGACTTACTTTTCAGAAGATGGAAAAAGAAAAGTTGATGTGTTTCATCATCATATATATGGCAAAGAAACATTATTGAACAGCAAAAGTGCACATGGACAACACGACAGATAGCTTATTATTTTTATCATTCACAGCTACTCAGCAAATTTGAAGTAAAACAAACAGTTTGACACTCATAGGGTGTATGTTGCTGATTACACACAAAAAATGAAAAATCAGTAACTGTCATAAATTTGAAATACATTGAGTGTCTGTGTTAAAAGAGAAACAACATTTTATTTCGTAAAGATTTTGAAGGAATGTAATAGAACCGATATAGATATGCCATAGAAATCTATAAATCAATATATTACTTCATTTTTTCATTATAAATTAAAGGAATAACAAATTGGATTGGTGGGAAAAGTGCCATAAAACAGGATTTTCCTGGGGTAAACATCAGCTTTCCCATACTTACCAGTGGTTAAAGAATTTGTTGCAACATTCAAAGTTGGTTGTTTTTCATTTCTTAAGAGATTATTATGGTGGGTAGCCATACATGAAGGTCCACATGGTCCGATAGCAAGCACAGATTTCAGAATAATTGCGCTAACTGCTTTGTTGGTGCTACATGGATTTTATATTTCTGTCTGTTGTTAACATGTTTATCATTCTGAGAAGCCATGCTCTTCCAAGAGTTTAATTGCTATTGATTGTTTACAATATATTTATTGTAGAATTTTGAATCCCATATGAAGAATTGTTATCCCTTTAATATCATTCATATAAAGACAGTGACAGGGCACATTTTTGAGAACTTTTTATTATAACATCTGAAAAATCTGAAGGGATCCAGTATGACAAACCAGCCCTTCGGACGTAATGATTGAAAACTGGTCACCAAGATTGTCACAAATTGAAATCTCAAATATGAACATTACATCCGGCCAAATTTATTATCTAGGCAAGGTAATTTGCACATAAGACAATTTTTTCCAGCTTTTGGATCGAGTGCATTTTTATGTACAGACACAGATGTGTCTGTACATATAGCCATCACCTGCGTCTGTCGTCGTTGCCGTGCACTTTGACCACCGATAACATGATAAGTGAAAAACCG